TGCATTCTGTTTTTACATATTGTGATTATGAATATGTGAATTTTGAAAATTTAGTATCTTGAAAACGAAGTATCGTTCGGAAAAATGTTATTCTACATTTCCAACTTACTTTTCTATCTAGAATCACGCTCTTGCGGGTGGTACCCCAATAACGGAAATACCCTGCATATTTGGAAGCTAGTTCTTATTGAGTTTAATGGGAAACCCTATAACATTCGTAAAAATTTATTAATCCTGATTTTCTGCTTTGACGTTTACATGGAACTTGTTTATAAGTACCTACAGTAAACGGGAATTCATCCAACATGCACTGAAACTTGTTGGATAATTTAGGTATTATAGTTATTTCGTTAGCGTAGAAACCGTGTTTCAAACATCTTCAGCCATTAAAAAATGAGCTGCTTGTCAATAATTTGATGCGCACGAAACTATCTGACGTATGCTCGAAACTCGCGCAGTTTCCGCGGCGTAGTTTGATTGCTGGTCGAACTTCAGCTATTTGTACGACCTTATTTGAGGTTTCCGGTCTTTGGAATAGAAGTTTCTCGCGCAGTACCAGTATAACCGTCGCAAATTACTCGCCATCACTTGACCGAGTTTCGGCGGACGAAAAACTACTTTGAACTCGGAAATTCATTCTCCATTATTGTTTATCCGAACTTTGTGTGCACGTCAAGAATCCAGACCGAAAAGATAAATTTAATAAAATCTAACGATCAGAACATTAATTTTGTATTCTATACTTCGATAAAAATAAAATAATCTATTCGAGTTAATGATACGTCGAGAAGTCGAATTGTATTTGACATTTATAACACGTTATCGTTCGTCGCCAGAAAGTTCCACTATCCAATGATTAACCATTTTGATATACACTACTGTCCAAAAGTATGGGACCAGAGTTCATTATTGACGGAACAGTACCTCGTTATTCTGTTATGATATAATAAAGTTACGAAATAAGTACATATAGGGTGTCGCATCCTACGTAACTACCTTAAATATCTCACTTTTGATTTTCAGAAAAATTATTGCAACAAATTTTAACAAGGTGATGTCCATCAACTTCGACACATTCTTGCATTAATCCCTCCATCGTAGTTGCCCTGTTATTTAAATTTACTTCCTTACATTTATAGATTTTCTGTGCTCAAGGTCAAGTGAAGGTCATATTACTATAGATCATTGCATTATTCTTGACCTCAGCTATCACGCCACGATGATAAAAATATATATTTACTCCCACTTTAAAAAAACACCGATGACCTAGAAAATTCGAAAAATGCGACCTTGTGAAAAGTTTTTGTTTATCACTCACATTTTTTTATATCTTCAAAAACAAGTGGGATACGGAAGGTGCTCACGTTAAGTGGGATTCATTCTGCCAGTACATATTTCGTACACGAAATATTGTTCTCGTCCGATTAAAACATAATACATAGAAAAAAAAATATATTTTGTAATTCCATTAAGCTCGTACCAAGAATCACCTGTTCCCGGTACAAACTTTGTCGATCGATAACGTAAAGGTTACCCGCGCGACGCGTTTATACCATTGTATCCTGTTAATTAAAACGATCGCTCGCGAATCTGCGGTTGTTTTGCAGGCCCTCGAAATTGCATGGAGTGACCACGTGGTCCTGAAACGGGTCCCGCGAGCGTTCGCCCCCGCGTGTTCGCAGACGGCCGGAAAACATCGGACGCATTGGGAATCGTGCCCCGCTTGCGTTCGACCGATCAATGATCTCTCTCTCTGCGATGCGCTTAATTCCCCGCTTTCCCAGCCGCGCGCGAAACGAATGCATGGAGGGGGGGGGGGGGGGGGGGGGGGGGGGGGGGGGGGGGGGGAGCCACTCGTCCTCGATACTTGGTAACCGCGTCCCCGTCGACCCCTCAATTTGCATCGGGGAATCCCGTTCAAGCGTCACGGGCCGAGATCGTTACTATTAATCGATTCGATTGCTTTCGAATTGACAGTTCTCTTAACAGCGTCCTGCTGATTTACCAAACGGATGTTTGCATACGATCGAACAAAAGAGAGATTTCGCCCCGATTGGACTCCCCTTAGTCCGTTTTTCAATGCTCCCCGCCCCTTTTCCCGTCAGACGATCAACCGACACCCGTTCGAATCATCGGTTTCATTTCATGACACACGGTCCACGAAACGACCATGGACGATTTTTCCGACCACCAACGGCCACGGTTGGTCCACGTATTTCCACTTTCCATTTCTCGATCGTTGTGTTCATTCTCCTCGTGTGTCGTTCCTTTTTTTTTTGTTCTTCCGCGCGATTTGCAGATTCATACGCAACGAGCGCTTATTCCGCGACCGTAAATTGACTTTTCTCGTTCACCCTCGAATTCGTACCCGTTGGTTTTTCTTGATTGCCCTCCCCTACCCCCACCCCCTGAACACAATACAAACGACACGTATCAGTCGGTCTTTCTGGCGGTTTCTATCTCTCTCGAACGACCGCTCGCAATTTTCTCCCTCATCCACATTCGCACGGTTCTATTCAACTCAGACATTAATTACGTTATTCTTCTTCGGTTGTGTGTGTGCGCGCGCGCGCAATGGCATCGGGGGATACTCCCTTGGTAACAAAGTGAAATTGATAGCGGTAGGATCGACGTGACTTCACAAAGAACCGGATAAGAATATATCAGCGAACGGAACGCCGTCTTTGATAATCGGATCGCTCAGTTCTCTCGATCGAGAAATTAAGGTCGACGTCGATCATTGTTAGGGACACTGAATCGAACGGAGATAATGGCCACGATTGGAACCGCTTCGTTATTTTTTGAGATTATCGAGCTTTCATGGTTCATGGAATTTCAGGGCTTTAATCATGGTTTCTTCTAGGATCGGTCGTTTCTGACCCGAATATCGATCGGATGTATCTTGAGCTCGTCCACGGAATATTCGTGGACAATCGTGTACAAACAGGACAGTTAAGGCTTCCGTGATTATCCCGCCCCGGTGTCTTTTCATTAAGGTTCTTCTTTTTCGATCTGGAAACCTTCTCAGAGACCTAATTGCAAATGGCAAGGTTCTAATTAAAAATCTGTTGGACCCTTTCGTGCATCTATTTGAAACTCCGAACTCCGATGATTGTACGACGTTAGCTTGACCTGGAATTCAGAATAAAAAGCGACAATTAAAGCGTCCTTAGTACCTTCGGCTCGATTAATTGGTTCTCCACCGGCTAGCTGGTCTTCGATTTCTGATTAATTGGAATACAACGTTGAAACGGGCTCCATCGATCGAACATCGGAACTTGAATAAGAAATGGACGCTTCAATCCGTACGAAAAAAAAACAGGTCGAGATTCTAGAATAAAGTTTTTGCAAATAGAACTTTTACTTGGGTACGCTTACCATTTAAATATTACTGTTTTTTAATTAATATAAGACACGAAAGAATGCAAGCATCGGACATTTTCAGGACCAAAACTTCAGAAGGAACAGAATGTATTCTGAATTTCAGACTTATTCCCTTCACTTAGTACAGACAATACGTAAATACAAATGTAGAGTGAAAATCACAAGGTTCTACTCGAAGCCCCTTAAACTAGAATCTTTCTACATTTCCAGAAACCCTCTAATTTTCGAACCACATACTTTAATCGCCAGATCTGCCACGTTATAATCGCGTAAAGGTCCACTCGAAGAAATGAATCAGTCGAGGCGTGTCCGCCGGATTAAACGGGGAACAGACAGGAATTTTCAAGCGGTGACTTAATTTTCCGGGGGTGAGACCTAACCCATTCTCGACGTGCTCTCTCTCCACCTCTCTGCCAATCTCCAGGCGGCAAGTGGGGCGAGCAACGGGGGACGATAAAGAGGTTAATACGGTTTTATGTGGGCGAACGGGTGAAAATACCGACGGGCATGGGTTGGAGTGCGCGTACGTACATGGTAGCGCGCCCTTAACCGCGATAAAACGGGTCGCACAACGAAACAGGAAAGATCTCGGCCTGGCAACAACCGGTCCGTGTAGCGTCGTGCCGTTTACGCTTTAAAAGGGGGGAAGGGTTGGGGGACGTTCGCCTGATCCGTGCATCGCGCGGGAACGACGCGGTTAATGGCGAAACCGGGAGGTTGTTAAAATATTGAACGGAAATATGGGCTCGCAGCCGTCTATGGCCACGTAAAACTTCTAAATAAACGCCTAACGATCAACCATGCGGCGTGGAAACGCGAGTTTACCGGTACCCTGCGTTCGACCGTCGATGGGGACGCTCGGCATCGATACACGTCGGTCCCCGTGTTAAGGACCGCGAGGATCGCTGAGCCCTTGGAAAAATTGCTGCGTTAACGGCGTTTCTCAAAAGGGAAGGGGGTTCGTTCTACCGTGTAAGGATTCGAAGCACTTGTAATTGCGGCGTTAAGGTTGTTACGGAAGCGGCTAGTCGACGCTCCGCTGCTTGCAAATTGGTGAGCCAGGAGGTTAGGATGTGTGCAAGGTGTTTAAATAGCATGGATTTTGTTGCCTGTGGAAATGTGCGTTCCTTTTTTTTTTATTGGATTACTTTTGGACTTGTAATCTTATCGTTTTTTTTGCACAGAAGTTGCCCGAGTTAATTACAAAAATTTCCCCGCATAAAAACATGAGAATATAATACCTGGTGGTGTGGTCGTAAGTTATTTTCATTGTATTCATTGTGATCTGTGTTAAACATGGTCAATCATCGTCAATCATATTTGTGATATAGTAGTTCATTCCGCGTGAATTATTCTAAAGGCTCCCTTAGACGATACGATTTGTATTACGACATACATAGCTTCGGGGGTTGGAACTGTCTTTCAGACGATCGAAGCGACGTATGTTGTACCAGCAGTCGTACAACAAATCATGTCGTGTATGGGCCGCTTGAAAGTGTTAGCACGGTCTCCAACATATAATTTACGTTAGTTTTCCGTCTAATAGTAACAAGTCTTATTACTTCTTTACAGTCTCGACTGGCTGACTAACGAGCACACGTTTCCTCTGATTGCAGATGTTTTGAAGCGGATCGGTCGCAAAGATGAAGGCCGTAATCGCGTCGTGTTTCCTCCTCACCCTCGTCAACGGCGTTCTCTCCGTCGAGTGGAAACACAGCGCCGCCTTGGACAATAACTTCTTGGTTCTTTGGACGCCCGGCGAGAACGATGTTATGTTCGAGATTCAAGTGAAAACTCTCGGCTACGTGGGTCTCGGTTTCACCAAGGACGACGACAGGGTTGGCGCTGACATGGTCATCGGATGGGTGGACAACAACGGACAGCTCCATCTCCAGGTAAGTGTCCTTAAGGGATCGCACTAGTTCGTGGAAAAGCTCTTGTTCGTTTCTGGAACGGTCGAATTTCCGTCGATTTTCTCGGAAGCTCTTGCGCTGGCACGAAATTATCCACATCTATAGGTCCGTGGATATAATGCACGGAGGTAAAAGAACGAGACAGAGAGACCAAAAAAAAAAAAAAAGAAACGCTCCCACGTAATTATCGTCCCTAGTTTCGTCGACCAATGTGTATCGAGGACGATCGTCCCGCAGAAACGATTACTTTCACCCTGTACACGTTCTAGCAAGATTATATTCATTTCCCGAACGTCGACGTGGAATAATTTCAACTAATTACTCTTATGCTACCGATCCCGATGCGTCGAACGTTGCGGTGCATCGGTCTGGAATACACACCGTGGGGCCCAGTACAGGCCGGGGGAGTTGGAGGAGGAGAAGGAGGAACGCGCATAATGATAGTCCTTTCGGAGATAAGTAATGGGTTTCTCGTTTCGATCGGTGCATCGGATAGTTATCAATCTTACCAACTGAAGCCAGGCGGCCTGTCATTACGCGTGCTCGTCATTTTGTACGACACTCTGTCGTTTTATTTTTCGCGGGAACGATTATCTTGGACAATTTTCAGTCACCGGGGCCCGTATGATGTATTGCTTCTATCGGAGCGGTATCCAAACGTGTTCGGGCAGAAGATCCCGGCATCGCGCGATGATGGAGAGATAACTTTCGACTGGAAAGGACGTGAAAGACTGGAACCACTGAAAAAACGAAAGAAAACTAGAGACATTCGGAATAGCTGTCACGGTTTTGAAACAACAGCGTACTAAGACGAAGATCAACCTGATAAATGTATATCCACAGGTTTCGTCGGAACCGGGGTTCGGTGGAAATATCTTCCGGATCCGTGGAAGTCCTTCAGTTGACAAAGTATAACAAGGGTAAACATCGTCGGTCGGCCGGCTTTCGTTGTGCCAGAGATCGTTTCGAACCGGTTTAATTTCGCTAGAAGAGCCCCACAAAGCGAACGTGCATAGAATTTTGTTCGTGGCTGACAGCGCGCGCGCAGGAGGTTTATTTTCGAGTACTGTTAAATTTAAAACGCCGTTCCATCTGTTGACGCGTACCCTTCTCGAAAACCGGACTCGAGAGGATTACGCGGTATCCTCCCTTTCATCAGCGTTACACGGCTGTTGTCACTTTACCCGGTTCTTCATAACATCGGGGGCCCAGCAGAAAGAGAGATGGATGTGACCATCCTCTCTCTGGTTGTTTTTTTCCCACCTTTTCCAGCGTAGCTTTTCCCGTGACGCAAATGGGACGAACCGGCGTTACACGAGCAACCATGACTCGGTTCCCGGTTTCCGTCTCTGTCGTTTCGACTCTCTCATTTGTAGGTTCGTCGTTGAATATTTCTTTTACAACAAGCCTCTCGCCAACGAGCGCATTTCGCGTCGGTACGTTTCATCATCGCCTACCGGGGTAGGGACGGTGGGCTACTTCGCGGCGGAATTTTCCCCGCGACGACAAATTCGCTTGGCGTCATGCTGCGTCACTGTCAACCTCCCCCTACCACCTACACGCCCGCGACAGATGTTCTTTCTTTTCTGATTACCATCCACGATTAACGACAGCAATTTCGCCCCCGCTAAACCCTTCGCCGTGGAGACCGGCCGTAATTTCTCTTCATCCTGGGTTCACTCTCTGGAGAGTGTTCGCTTTGATCGAAATAGTACCCCTCTTGACTGCAGTGGATTCGAGGTTTGCTTACGTAGGAATCTATACTTCAGACACGAAAAAATTAGTTTCGACAGTGCTTCGAACAAGTAACTCTATAGGGAACATTAGAAAGCATGCTTGGTTATTAAAAATTGATACTCTTGAAAATTCTACTTTTTAGGCAGGTTTCGCTGATTAAGAAGGGATCGATGATTCAGCAAGCTTTTACAATACAACACCAATGCTATAAGGGACACTATAATTGATTGGGGATTATAATAATTCAGAGAATATACGGTCATTCAACGGTGTTCCGCCAGAAGCTCGTTCAGTTTGTGTAGAATGTCGATACGGGTTTTTTCAAGCGTCTCCGACAGGTATCTAGAGTCACGTAAAAGGGTGACATGAAATCCCGGCAATCGACGGAAGTCGGCAGACGTTCGTTGGCCGCGTAAACAGCTCCCTTATTGCCGGCAAGTGTATGATCGGGTCCGGTATCAGCGGCTAGCTAGGGTTCGTGTTATAGAGATCTCTCTCGGTCGTTTCTTCTGAAATGGAAAGGGAGAGACCGTAACAGAAAGGGTGGGATGCAATATAGGAAAGCAATCTTCTCCGGCGACTAGCGCGCACGGATAGCAACCCTGGTCAGAGTGAGAGAGTGGTAGCGATAGGGGTCGGGTGCTTAGGTACATATCTACGTAGGTAGGTAGTCAGGCTGCAGATCGCGTCCGTCTCGCGTGTCCGCAATTTTTCCGGTAGAATCGTTGCCCGCTCGTTCCATAATGCATGCCGTGCCGCGTAATGCTCTATGCGATGCAGCCGTCGCCGGACGTTCTCATACGAGGGAACGACGCCAGGAAGAAAAAGGATGGAAAGACGCGCGCGGGTACGAAAGAGTACGGGGACAAACGGGGGGTTAGAAGGATCGGAAGGACGGTCGAAGGAAAGAGAGAAGGGGATAGAGTTGACGGCCAATGAGAGCGAGAAGGTTTTTCGTTATGATCGTAATCTTAGAACCAGAACAGCCGCGGGGCATCCAGACCAGCCCGGACAACTGACCACACGGACTTCTCTTAGCGTTGCTCTCGATTTCTTGTCCTTATAGATGCCCATTTTACAACCATCCCACCTCCCATCCCCTTAAACTTCCTCCTAACTTTCGAATGCTCCCGTTCCAATCCTACGATTCTTTTCTTCGCGTGGTTTAACCTTTCGCTTCCGGTGCCTCTCTCATCGTGAAATAAACGAACCGAAATTCCGTGCCGTATGGTAACGACGGAACCAGAAAGTGGTTGAAGTAAATAGTTTCTTCGGGTGGTTTTCTCGTTGGCTTTGTTGTTTCTACTTGGGGGTGGAGAAAACGAAGTTAATGGTAATTGATCGAAATGGAGGTGGTCCAGCACTCCAATCAGTTTACGGTTTCTTTCGTACTCGATCAAACGGTATCGAATCCTGTTTTTAGATGCGGTTGCTTTTCACTCGGCTTTGTTATGGTTATTACCAGACCACGTGAAGGACAAACGGGCGTAACGTGTTCGATAAGACGAATCGAAGTTGATTAAAGATCTACGGTTGATACACTTGCCGGTTCTAGACTCTGGGCGGCTGTTGTGCGCTAAACCACTTCGGCTATCCGCCGTCTCTTCGACCCAGCTGAATTCAATTTTCCTGGTCTCTAATTCTTTTATTCGCTTCGTTTAACTTCCCTGTTCCGTTCGACACGTCGTTTCACGGCGGATCCGTGGCTCCATGTTTATTTAAAGTTTTCTCCACCTGGAATGCTTCTCGAACGAACGACTGCGCTGTAAGTCAACCGAGGATTCGTTTTATTAAACAGTTCCGATTCGGCATTTTGCGAAAATAAGGTATTACTTATCTGTCGTCTATTTCAGTACCGTGCAATATACAGTAGATATAACAATTCGGTTAGTTTCTCCTTTTCCTCATTATTCAGTATCGATCTTGGCTCTTTGATCATTCCGAGAAACTGTCGAAGACGTGAATTTCAAATAATTCAAACCAGCCTGCAAGTCCACCAGTGTCGCGAGAAATTGAGTTTTCATTCCGATCGAAAGATCTCTTCTCAAACGTGGTAAGAGGAAACTAGTATTCCATGCATAACCGTTCCCAAAGAATAGACGGAAAAATAGTACGTATCCCGATACGTACATATTACTTAGGCGATAGGTCGGCGGGTGGTGGTGGCTAAATTCTAATTTAAATTCCGGCGGGTTTAGATCGGAATAGATTCTGTATGCAAGGAACGCGCGCTCGGTAGTATCGCGGGTTCGACGTCGGGCCACGTTGGGCAACGTCCAAAATATCGCGTTCCTTTGTTCACCACCCACCCTAGTTCAGTCGAGTATCCCAGACCAGGTCCCCATCCCACCGTCTGTCGGTTCCACCGGCGGATTAAAAAATTTCCACGGCGAATTAGAAAACGCTATTTACCCAACCATCGTCTGAACCCCGCTCGTTAATGGATTTCTCGAGCAAGTGTTTCCTCCTCCGACGAAAATATGCATCGTGGAGGGTAGGGGGGTTGGGATTGTACGGTCTCGCCTTTCGCGGCATTTTCCATCCCTTGCCTGCCGGCCTTTTTTCAGCCACTTTACCCGACTGCAGTGGCGAACCGCCGACAATGCCGGAATAGGGAATTTCATTCCGCGGCGAAACGTCGCTTCTCGTTTTTTCCTCGACGAAGCACGCCCCCTCCCTGTACTGCATCCCTGGTCCTGCACCGTGATTACATTCGAGACTCCACTCGACGTGCGTGCGCGCGACGAGGTAGCGTAGAACGCGTCGCGAGGATACCGAAATTAACTACAGCGCAAGATCTCATTACCATTTCGCCGGCAGGCTCGTTCGCCCGCGAGGTGTCGTACCCCGTGCCGCCGTGGGATTGGCTGAACCGATACGCGCCAACGAGTTTTTCGCGCGATCTACCGTCTCCCTCCGCGCTATACTTTTCTTTTCGATCCTCGGTGTATGTATATACCGAGGCCAAGACGCTCGACTAAACCTGGAGAACGATTTATCATGCTGCATTATTTATCCGAGTGTCAGCCGCAACCACCCCAGAAGCATTCTCGGTGTTTCTCGCTACCTGGGCGCTGTGCTCCATATGAGTCGTTAAATATTAACCATCGCCCCCGGCATTCGCTCCACCTCCCGCGTTTTCATTCTTTCGCGCGCCTCTGTTCGCCTGGTCTGCTGCTTGGAATCTCCACGGAAACGCGTGTCCCACTCTAGTATCCGTACGATGCAAGATTCCGTTGAGCGGC